TCAAACTCACAGAGATCCACCTGCCTCTGCCTCCCAAGTGCTGGGATTAAAGGCGTGTGCCACCACGCCTGGCTCACATATAAAATCTTTAAAAAAATTCCATCCCCTTTCCAGAGTTTTTCTTTTAAAAAAATTTATTAATTTTATGTGTATGCATGTATTTCCTGCATGTATGTAAGTGCACCCATGTAGTGCAATGCCCAAGGAGGACAGAAGAGGGTGTCAGAGCCCCTGGAACTGGAGGTATGGATGGCTCTTAGCCTCCATCTGGGTCTTCTGCAAGAACAGCCACTGCTCTTAACCGATGTCATCTCTCCAGCCCCCAGAGGAGCTATTCTTTATTATTTATTTATAAAATATTTTTTTTATTATTTTTATGTGTATGAGTGTATTGCCTGCATGTATGTGAGTGCACCCGTGTCGTGCAATGCTACAGCAGTCAGAAGAGGGCTTCGGATTCCCCTGGAACTGGAGTTAAGGGCGGTTTGTAGCAGTCATGCGGATGCTGGGAATTGGACCCGGGTCCTCTGCAAAAGCAGTCAGTGCTCTTAACCACTGAGCCATCTCTCCAACCCCTATTTTTTATTTTTTAAAAAGCAAGACCTAACACTTGGAAGATGGAGGGAGGAGATACCCTGAACAAGCTGCTAGCTTGGCAAGCTCTGGGTTCAAGTGAGAACCTGAGTGGATATATAAGGCGGAGCACAATCCAGGAAGATAATGTCTTCTTCAGGACTCCACACACATACACACAGGTCCAAGTGCATCCCCCATGGGAAAACACACACACACACACACACACACACACACACACACACAAATACATGCTAAAAGAGAAATATTTCCTAATTTCAAATGCAAAAAAAACCCTTCACTAACTCCAATGCCCACTCTGCCCACACAGTTCCGTGTGGAAGGCCTTGCTGTCTGGCACTGCCCCTTTGCTAGTGTTTCCCAACACCACCAGTGTGCAGACTGTATCTCCACTGGCTGAAATTCTAAGGCTCAGCAATGCCTGACGGGTGCTGTTTGTTGGGAAAGAGTGATTCATTATCAACATTCTTAGCCCCTTAATACACTTCCCAAGAGATTGCAAGTTTGGGAAGTGAGAGACAAAAACTGGAGAATAGAAACTCAGAAAGGTGGGAAAGATTTTTCTGGCAAAAAGGCTTTGACTGGGGACTGGAGAGATGGCTCCGTGGTTAAGAGCACTGACTGTTCTTGCAGAGGACCCAGGTTCGAGTCCCAGCATCCACATGGTAGCTAACAAACGTCCATGATTTCTTTCTTCTGACCTCCTTGGGCATTGCATGACACAAGTGCACTTACATATATGCAGGCAATATATATATAATATATATATATATATGCACACATATAATAACTAAATAGCCGGGCATGGTGGTGCATGCCTTTAAACCCAGCAGTCAGGAGGCAGAGGCAGGCAGATCTCTGAGTTTGAGGCCACCCTGGTCTCCATAACGAATCCAGGCCAGCTAGGCTACAGTTGGGGTGACTGCCTGTCTCAAAAGAAAAAAGACTAAAAAAAAAAAAAAAAAACCTAAATAAAGCTTTGAAGGACTAGATCAATGGCTCTGTTGGTAAAAAGCCTGTCACACAAACATGAGGCCCCAAGTTCAGGTCCCCAGCACACATGGAAAAGCCAGATGTAGGTGCCATATCTATACCCCAGCATCAGGGTAATGGAGACAGGCAGATCCCTGGAACTTGCTGTCTGGTCAGCCCTACTGAATAGATGAACTCCAGGTTCAGTCAGAGACTGTGTCTCAAGTGGAGAGTGATCAAGGAAGACATCTGACATCGACCTTTGATCTCACTCTCATATGCACACAACCCATACGAACACGTACAGGAACCACATCAAAGGCTACTGTGGCCATTAAGTAAATTAGTGTTTCCACACGAAGCTGTTTCATTTTTTTCTTTCAAACACTACACACAATTCTTTTGAAGAAGTATTAAGCCTCAAGTACCCCAGGCTGGCTTTGCATGCCTAGCCTCCTGCTTCCACCTCTGAGTGCTGGGGTTACGGACGCGCACCTCCAGGCCTGCTTTTATGCAGTGCCGGGGTGGAACCCGAGGCTTTGTGCATACTAGGTGGGCACACAGTGACAGTTCTCTACATATTTAGTTTGTGCTGTCTCTCCTGCACCTCCACTGCACCCTTCAGCCCCCCAGTTCCCAGGTCGATGTCTTCCTGCTTCTGAATTTTCCTGTCTTGTGTGTTCTGTGAGCCTCCCCAATCCCATCCCTTGAAGCCTTTCTTTCTCTCATGGGCCCTTTCCTAATTTCTTGGTTTCTACCCAATTTGCTCTCACAGAAATACATACATACACATATATGTATATCTACACATATATAAAACAAATCAGAAGTTACGATCTGCATATGTGAACATTAGGTACTTGCCATTCTCAGTCTGTTACATCACAATATAGTATTTCCAATTCCACTCATTCTTCTGCAGATTTCATTTTTCCTTGGAGCTAAATAACATTCCATTGTGTGAATGTTCTACATTCTCATTGTCTGGTCATGTGTTGACTGACAGCTGGGCTGGTTGTTTCCTTAGAGCAGCAACGAACACAGATGAGCCACTACACACGTTTTTAAAAATATTTATCTTTATTTTATGTATGGGTATATTGTCTGCATGTATGTAAGTGCATCTGTGTTGTGCAATGCCCACGGAGGTGTTGAATTCCTGGAACTGGAGTTAAGGATGGTTGCTAGACACCATGTGGGTGCTGGGAATCAAACCTGGGTCCTCTACAAGAGCAGCCAGTGCTCTTAGCCACCGAGTCACCTCTCCAGCCCCACCCCCACTTGTTAGTAACAGGAACTGTTTCTCCTTGCCTCCCTCCATAAATGCTGAGCAAATGCTTAAGAGATGAGGGTTTGAGGGTACTACGTTACCAGGTTGTCGGGGTGACTGCCTGTCTTAGCTTGATCACTGTGTGCTTTCTGGGACACAAAGTGAGCTTGTATTTAGTACTCAATGACAAAAGCCCATATAACCAAGAAAAAACTGGGAAAAAGACCTGATGTATTTGAAAATATGTTCAGTACTGCTCAGGAGATATCGGCACCAGGGGTCACCAGGAGGATGGCACATTAAGAACCATGAGATGCCACCTCACACCCATTAGGGTGACCACAGTAAACAATAAAAACAAAGATCCAAAATAATGGGTGTTGCTGAGGCTGTGGGGAAATTGGATCCTGTATATACACTGAACTGGGATGTAATATGGTTTGGCCACTAAGAAAAACAGTAAGACAGTTACTAAAAAAATTACAAAGAGGATTACAGTGTGATCCAGCAATTGCCTTTGTATATTTCCAGCATTAAAAACAAGCTTGAGGGGGCTGGAGAGATGGCTCAGTGGTTAAGAGCACTGGCTGCTCTTGCAGAGGACCTGGGTTCAATTCCCAGCATCCATGTGGTGGCTAGGAAACGTCCTTAACTCCAGTTCCAGGGGAATCCAACAACCTCTTCTGACCTCTGTGGCATTGCATGACACGGGTGTACTCACATACATGTAGGCAATACACTCATAAAATAAAACAAACACAATTAAAAAAATAAACAAGCTTGATGTGGTGGTACGTGAATTTAATCTCAGCACTCAGGAGGCAGAGGCAGGTGAATCTCTGTGAGGTCAAGGCCAACCTGGTTTACTTAGGAGTTGCAGGCCAGCCAGAGCTACATAGCAAGATGCTGTCTCAAAACAAAAACAAAAACAGAGAACTCAAAGCTGGGTCACAAAGAGATATCTGTACATCTATGTTCACAGCAATTTTTAAAAAAATATTTTAAACCTTTTTATTTATTTAATGTGTATGAGTGTAATGCCTGCATATATGTAAGTGTACCCGTGTTGTGCAATGCCTGTGGAGGCCAGAAGAGGGCATCAGATCACCTGGAACTGGAGTTACAGATGGTTGTCAGCTGCCATGTGGGTGTTGGGATTAGAACCCAGGTCTTCTGAAAGAACTTTTTTTTTTTTTTGATCTTTGAGACAGGGTCTCTCTGTAGCCCCAGCTGGCCTATATTCAGTATGTAGACCAGGCTGGCCTTAAACTCAGAGATCCACATGCCTCTGCCTCTTGGGTGCTGGGACTAAAGGCATGAGCTGCCACCACATCCAGCCAGTCAGTGCTGTTAACTGAGCCACCTCTCCAGCCCTGACAGCAATTTTTTTCAAGATGTGGTCTCATGTAGCCCAGGTTGACTTCAAACTTGCTATGTAGGCGAGGCTGGCCTTGAACTCCTGGTCCTTCTACCTCTATCTCCTAGCAGCACACCTGGCTCTTGACAGTAGCTGTATTCTGAACTGTCAACAGGTGGAAACAATTCCCCATAGATGAAAGGATAAGCAAATGTGATGGGACACAATTCAGCTTTAGAAGAGGAAATTCTGACACCCGATACAACCCAGAATCTCAAAGGCGCTAGACTAAGTGGAACAATTCAACCTAGAGGAACAGGTTAAGCACTGGGTTGGGGTATAGGTCAGCGGTAGAGCTCTTGCCTAGCAGGTGTTCAGCCTTGGATTTGCCCTCCAAGTGCCACAAAAATAAATCCCATGTTACTCTATAGAGTAGTTGACCCCCAGAGATGTGGTATGGAGGTTGTGCAGGGGCTGGTGAGAAGGGGTCCAAAGGATTGCTGTCCAGTGAGTAGTTTTAGGGTTGTGAGATGAAAAGGTTTGAGACTTGGTTGCACAACACTGTGAACGCTGAACTGCACACTTGAAAATGGTTACAATGGGGCTGGTGAGATGGCTCAGTTGGCAAAGCGCTTGCTCGGCAAGCATGAAGATCTGAGTTCATTCAGGTCCCCAGTATCTACAGAAAAAGCCAGTGTGGCATGGTGTGGTGATATACACCTTTAATCCCAGCCCTCTGGAGGCAGACGGGAAGATTCCGGAGGCTTGATGGACAGCTAACCTGGCAAAACCAAGAACAATGGAAAAAACACTTTTTAAAAAAATTTATTAAGGAACACAAAAAATGCATCTAAATGATTTTTTAAAAAAGATTTAAAAATTCACCATGTGCTCAGTCACCACTCTACACAGACTAAAAGGTGGTTTGAAGACATTTTTTGATTTCCATACCAATTATTTGAAATGACTGAAACCAATACGAGAATCCGTGAGGTCAGGTGGTGCCGGCAGTCTCCCCTTCTGGAGGCAGCGCCGGGATCAGCTGGTATTTCAGGAGTTTTCCTGCTGCCTGTGAAGAGCTGACTGGCCTCGCTGCGGTTGTGCTCCAGCAAACAGCCTACAAACGCTAGACAGTAATGAAGCTACGTCACCTCTGGCTCTCTGCGCTTCCTTGACCAGACAGCTTTTAAAAATTCATGAGAAAAAGACAGAAAGGTAAAATGAGAAGCCTGTGGGCTTTTAGTCATCACTGGAGAAATTCCTCACCTTTTAATCCCATTTGTTCATGGAGAACACAGCAGGAACAGGAGGGAACAGCTCCACAGGTAGGTTTTAAGGCCCTAACCTAACACCCAGAAGGTTTCATCAAGACCACCACTGCCTGTGTTCCTCAGGGTTGGGGAAGTGAGGTGTCCAGGCTTAGGCAGATGGTTCCCAGGCTGCTGCATGCATTCCCGAGAGGGTTTCTTAGGCTGTGGAAAAGCAAGCTGTGCCCAGTCCCATAGACTGAACCTTAAGGACCAAAACTCAACTGCATGTATTATTTAAGACTTGTTCAAGATTCAATGCCCAAGTACTGGGGATTTCAGCTCGATGGACCTGCCTGGGAAGCTGTCACCCCTTACAGCACACACCAGAACAAGGAGGCGTCGGGTGAAGGTGGGCAGAACATCTGCCTGTCAAACTTACAGGTAAAATCCTCACTGTAAGAAGAGCAACTACTCATTTTTGAGCCTCATAGATTTTGCCCTTCAAAAATTAAGCTAAAAGGTAAAAAGTGAAAAAATAGCTTTGCATGATAGAGGAGTGTGAAGTTCCATGCAGTCTATGTATGGTTACAAGCCAGTAATTGAAAAGAGACCAACTGCATCAGTCCTAATCAGAAATAGAAGTCAATCCACTCCAGGTCTAAGATACCAAGAGCAAGCCTCAGGATCTTAACAAGGTATGGGATGGAACAGGCTGGGCAGCAGGAGCAGGCACCGAGCACTAACGTTATTTCCTAAGAGGAACAGCAGGGAAAGCAAGCCCACTTCTGACTGCTGTCGTCACCTTTCACAACTTCATCCAAAACAGGGCAAGTAACCCGGAAACTCATCTGCTCATCACTAATGAAGGGTACCGGAGAATGGAAGGCTCCCTGGGGACAGGCTGGGTGTGACATAAAGCTACCCTACAGGGTCTGAGAAGGGAGCTTTGGGAAGCAGCTGAGCTGGCAGGTGCAGTGGACCTGGGATCCTGGCGTAGACCTCTGGTTAAAGACACAGCAGGTTATGTTCCCATACTGCAGTCAGTTCCAAACAAAACCTCATCCTCCTTCCCCAGCAGGAAAAGAGAACTTAATCAAGTTTATTTTTATTTTTTTTAAAGGTTTCTGCAGTGCTATTAAAGTTCAGATAAAAATCTAGCAGCCAGCCGGATGGTAGGATTACCTCAGGGGACGTGTGTTAGAACTGAAATGGGCCGGACGTGAGCTGTCGGCTCAGTTTCTGCACAGCAACAGCTCCCTCTGTTGTCCTCACACCACCTTCTCCAGGACCCCCAGGCAGCAGGAGGGTGGTTACTTTTGGGAAGCTACTGGTTTTGCTTCCAGAATCACAGAGACTATAACAAACTTTACACTAAATACTGTTCGGTCCTGAGTTGGGTGTGAGCCCACGGGAGGGCCGAGTTCATTAGGACTCTCTTCCCTCCTTGGCGTGGCGTCATACACGGCCTTCAGTGCTCTCTTCTGCTGCTCGACTCTCTACTCCTCTTTTACTGGCTGTCCCCTCCAGAGTCTTCGGGTTCATTGCTTTGCTGGCCTCTTCCTGAGGAAGACATAGAAATCAGGCAGAGGAACAAGAAGTGAGATGAATTCTTGTCCTCCCTGGGTGCTCCTATGAGTCTACAGCAAAGTGAGCATGATCTTACTTGGAACGAGCAGGTGGGGCTGAGCAACAGGAGGCTCGCTCTCTCTCCCCAGGCAAAGTGACCAGGCCTGCCCGGGCCAGCTGCTGGATAATTAGGTCTGTGTGGTAGGGGAGGCCGGGGGTGAGGATGGACGCAGGACCAGAGCATTACTGTGGAGCAGGAGGCTGGCCTGTCTCCAGACAGACTGCCAGCTTGGCGTCTGCACTAGTGGTAAAGAGCCTGCCAGAAAAGGGCATGTTGGTGGGGCTGCTGCTAGCATCTGTTTCCAAAGAAAACTGGACATCTCCACCAGGAAGTATTACTTGGAAATAAAACCATTGATGGACTTGTTAGTAAGCTGGCCTGGTGTGGTGGCAGATGCTTATAATCTCAGAACTCAGGAGGCAGAGGCAGGAGGGTCGCTGAGAGTGAGGCCAACCAGGGCTGCGGAGTAAGTTCCAGGCTGAACTGAGCTGCAGAATGACTCTCTCAGAAAACCAAGACAGCTTCAATATGTCTCAAGCAATTTAAATTTACTTCCCTGTCTTTCCTATGGTCGTCACATGTCAGGGCCTCACCACCTGCCTGTGGGGTGTGGAACCACCCTACCCAACTGGATCCAAGTAGCCTCAGGTCAGACTGGAGGTCTCTTTCCTGTTCTTGTGCCTCCGGGGCTGTCTACTCCACCTGTCCCCTATGCTTGGCATTCTCGGATCTCAGGGTCACACACACACACACACACACACACACACACACACACACACACACACACGCGCGCGCGCG